GTCTGCGATCTGCAGATTTTTAAAGTTATATTTTGGGATCGTTTTTCATTATGTTGGAGGTTAGGTTTTGGTCTTTCTCGTACGAAAAAAGTTCCAGAACAGATATTTTTCACTTGTTTTTCTTGGGGATCAATCTTGAGGGTGAAAACTTAGAGATTTGACTCTTGGATTTGGTTTTTTCTATTGTTCTCGACATTGGATTCATTAATCGTAAGCTTTACTTTCGTTTTCCTTTCGATTGAGATGGCTTTGATTATTGAATATGTTGATGTTGAATGCATGATGAGTAGCTAAATTCATTAGCTAGGGGTAGGGGATTATCAGTCCGGTTCGATTTCGTTTAAATGCTTGGTAATTGCTCATCTTTCTGAGTTGTGCTTAACCTAGGGTTTAGATGATTGATCTCCATCTTAATCTAATTAATCAATTCAGAAACCGAAAGGAGATAAATTGTTCGATCTAGGCTCGTTAAGAATAGGCTTGTTCGGTAACGTGTTGTCTATGCGCTAATTGATTCGTTAATGATTTATTTATGTTTATTCTCTTGTTTCGTGAGATATTGAGAATGAATCTCTGGATGAGTTAGTTTATTAAGTCCTTTAGCCGAGTAATTCATTGCTTGCTGAATGCATTGAGAACCGGAAGCGAAATCCCCGATACCCTAGCGCTTTTATCATAATTGTTCTTCATCCTTGCTTACTACTTTCTCTGCTTTATTTAATTATTTGCAGTAGTCGATAATTAAAAACCCATCCAACTATTTGGTTTAGAATGTTTAGGAATTTGATTTCTTTTAATTGTGTTGAGTAAACGTGCTTAATAATCCGGCTAACCTTCCTTGCGATACGACCCGGTGTCGAATCTTTCGATTCTACTTCGGTAAAAAATACTTACAACAAATTGGCGCCGTTGCCGGGGAAGGTTTAGGATTATTTTGTGCGCCTATTCATTTTATTTTTAGTGTTTCTTTTTGTTTTATTTTACTAGTTTATTAGTTCTTGATTTTATTTGTGCTTTGTTTTTCTTAGGTTTTTTTTTTCCTTGTTTATCTGGTGCTCGTGACGGTTTCTTGTCTTTGTGTATGCGTACCAGGAGTGGACGCAAACTGCTATCTCCAATCAACAAATCTGTCAACGAGAGCCTGAGGGAGCTGCTGGAAGAGCTTACTCTGGAATCGCACGGGGAAGACGAACATTCTCCTAAATCATCCGAAGGCAGCAACCTCGATATGGGGGAACGACAGCAACAAGCTCCCCGTAACACTCTTCGAACTTTGGCCCAGCCGGTTATCGGGCCAGTCACTTCATGCATCCGTTTGCCGGACGCTGCACGGAACTACGAGCTTAAAATGATTCATTACAATCAGTTGCCGGAATTCCACGGGCTTCCAAGCGAGGATCCACTCAACTTCATCCGGGAATTTTACAATGTCCTCAACACTTTCCCTCTCAATGACCTTAATGACGAGCAGATGAAGCTGAGGTGTTTTCCCGAGACTCTGAAAGACCGGGCCAAGGCCTGGTTCATGACACTTGCACCCGGCTCTCACACTACATGGACCGAGGTGTATTCGAAGTGTATTGGGAGGTATTACTCCCATCAGAAGACTCAAGAACTCCGGTCTCAGATCGTCTCGTTTGCTCAATTACCGAACGAGTCTCTTCATGAGGCTTGGGAGCGGTTCAAGGATCTCCAACGGCAGTGCCCCCATCACAACCTCTCTCCGGGGCTACTCATGAACTGTTTCTATGATTCCTTCCACCAGAACTTGCAGTATATGGTCGACAACGCCGCGGGAGGTGATATCGGAGCAAGGACAGCCAAGGAGATGTTTGAGATTTTTGAGACGATGAGTACGAACTCGTCCCAGAAGAGCGCGCGAGGCAAGAGGGCAGTAGTGAACGAGGTCGGTACAAGCAATGATGCGGTGGCCCAACAGCTAGCTGAGCTTACTGAGCAGATGAGGTTGCTTACCGCACGAGGGTCTCAGCCGGTTAATACATTCGCTATTGATACTTGTGGGGCGTGTGGAGTCCCAGGGCATAGGTCCGAAGTATGCCCCTCATCTTTCGAGCAGGACCCCAGTGAGCAGTATGCGGATGCAGTGCCTTACAAGGATATCAGAATCGGCCAGCCAATGACCCATATTCCAACACGTACAACCAAGGATGGCGGAACCACCCGCACTTCTCGTGGTCAAACAACTCCAACACCCTTCAGCCACCCCGTCCGAACTTCATGCAACAACAACCCCGACCCAGCTTTGTGCCCCGGCCGAACTTCCAGCCACAGCAGCCACAGCAGCAGCAGAGGGGACCGGAAGCGGGGTCGAACTCGAACCTCCAAGATGACGTTGCCAAAATCCTTCAGCTTATGGCCAACCGTGAGCAGAGGGATGTCAATCAGGATGCCTCCATCAAGTGCATTGAGACTCAGTTGGGCCAACTGGCCGCTCGGGTGGATACAATTGAGACTGAGATGAGCAAGGACAAGCTACCTAGTCAGCATGAGCAAGCAAAAGCTATAACAGTTCTCAGAAGCGGGAAGGAGGTGGACAACAAGGTTCAGATGCCCGAGCCTGAGGATAAAGAGACTCATTCTGAAAAGATCGAAGAAGCAGAGTCCGGGAAGGTGACAGACGAGCCGGTGTTACATAAATCGCCGAATCCGTACAAGCCGCGCATTTCCTTTCCGGACCGACTTAGGAACGAGAAGCAAGAGAAGCAGTTCCGAGATCTTTTCTACATGCTCTCCAAGGTGAACGTTAACTTACCTCTGCTCGATGTGATTAAGAATATGCCATCATATGGTAAGTTCTTTAAGGACTTGGTGACCAAAAAGAGGAAGTTCGAAGATGGAGAGAAGGTGGTCGTGTATGAGGCGGCAAGTGCTATGCAGCACGACTTGCCCAAGAAAGAGCGAGATCTCGGTGGTTTCATAATTCAGATAGCTCTGGGGAACGGGAAGGTAGCTTCAGGGATGCTCGACCTCGGAGCCGGAATTAATCTCATGCCCTTCTCGATTTTTCAGAGGCTTGGCCTTGGGGATTTGAGGCCGACTCGCATGTGCCTCCAGTTAGCAGACCGTTCCATCAGGTACCCGAAGGGGATAGTCGAGGATGTTCTCGTGAAGGTTGGTAAGCTTATCATTCCAGTGGATTTCGTCGTTCTAGACGTTGGGGATGTGCACGAGAATGGGAAGGATCACACCATCCTTCTCGGGAGACCTTTCATGGCGACGACCAATACTCTGATTGATGTGAAGAACGGGACCCTGAACATGACGGTTTTAGGGGAATCAGTGTCTATTTCTGTCCGAGAAGCCATGTCTTCATCTTCTGTCAACTTCATAGAAGAATGTGCTTTTATTGATCTTGCTGATCCCTTTGTTGATGAGATGGTATTTCAGGAGTTCGAGGACAAGTCGTTGCCGGTTTTCGAGGAGGAGGACGAGCCTTTAGTGGAGCTTTTCGAAGTATGAGAGGGCCATACCCGAGCGGAGACCACACTCGAGCTTAAGGAGCTGCCCAAGCACCTTAAGTATTTCTGGATGACGCGCATCAGAAGCCGGTGATCATCTTTGCTGAGCTCGACATTGAGGAAGAGGAGGAGCTGATAGCCATGCTCAGAAAGAACCAGAAAGTAATTGGGTGGAGTCTAGGAGACATCAAAGGGATTACTCCCTCTACTTGCATGCACCGAATTATCTTGGAGGAAGGAGCCAAGCCTTTTCGGGATAGCCAGCGAAGGCTAAACCCGAATATGATGGAGGTAGTGAAGAAAGAGGTGCTGAAGTTGTTTTCTGAGGGGTTGATATATCCGGTGGCGAGCAGTGAGTGGGTTAGCCCTATTCATGTGGTGCCCAAGAAGGGAGGCATAACCGTGATCGAGAACGACAAGAAGGAGTTGGTCCCCACCCGCATCACTACCGGGTGGCGTATGTGTATCGATTACAGACGGCTGAACGCTGTGACCAAGAAGGACCACTTTCCATTGCCGTTTATTGACCAGATACTTGATCGTCTTTCGGGCCATCAGTTCTACTGCTTTTTGGATGGGCTCTCCGGCTACTACCAAGTGGCCATAGCACCCGAGGATCAACCCAAGACGACATTCACGTGCCCCTTTGGTACCTTCGCGTTCAGACGGATGCCTTTTGGCCTTTGCAATGCACCGGGCACGTTTCAGAGGTGCATGTTCTCCATTTTCTCGGATATGCTTGAGGACTGCTTGCAGGTATTTATGGATGACTTCTCTATATTTGGTGATTCTTTTTCTCATTGTCTCCGTAATTTATCTCGTGTCCTTGAGCGTTGCATTGAGTCTAATTTGACCTTGAGCTGGGAAAAGAGTCATTTTATGGTGAGGAGTGGAGTTGTCTTAGGTCATGTTGTATCTAGCAAGGGAATTGAGGTAGATAAAGCTAAGGTAGATGTAATTGAAAAGCTTCCCCCTCCTGTGAATGTTAAGGGGATTAGGAGTTTCTTGGGACATGCGGGGTTCTATAGGCGTTTCATTAAGGATTTTTCTAAAATTAGTCAGCCCCTATGTCATTTGCTTGCTCAAAACGTGCCATATGTTTTTGATGATGCTGTTTGTGTGCTTTTAATGAATTAAAGAGCAAGCTTGTGAGTGCCCCTATTGTGATTGCCCCTGACTGGTCTATTCCTTTTGAAATTATGTGTGATGCATCGAATCTTGCAGTGGGCGCCGTTTTGGGTCAACGAGTTGATAAATTGCTTCGTGTGATTTATTATGCTAGTTTGACTCTTAATGGGGCCCAACAGAACTATACTACCACCGAGAAGGAACTTCTAGCCGTGGTCTTTTCTCTTGAAAAATTTCGATCATATATTTTGGGTTCCAAAGTAATTATCCACTCTGACCACGCGGCTTTGAAGTACCTTTTGAGTAAAACTCATTCTAAACCACGGCTCATCCGGTGGATCTTGTTACTACAAGAATTTGATGTTGATATAAAAGATAGGAAAGGGTCTGAAAATGTAGTTGCTGATCACTTGTCACGCATTTTACCATCTGAGTCATTATCTTCATTGAATGTGCATCATTCTATTAATGATAATTTCCCTTATGAACATGCGCATGAAGTGTCGAAAAGTGTTTGGTATGCTGACATTGTGAACTACTTGTGTTGTGGTAAACTGCGGCCTAATCTCTCTTCCCAAGAGAGAAAGCGTTTTATTGCTGTGTGTAGGGACTATTTCTGGGACGAGCCACTTCTTTTCAAGATGGGGAAGGATGAGGTGCTTCGAAGATGTGTTCCAGAAGAGGAGCAAGCTGATGTCTTCACATTCTGTCATTCGTTCCATTGTGGAGGCCACTTTGGCGGTCAGAAAACCGCCTTTAAGGTATTACAGTCAGGTTTGTTTTGGCCATCCCTTTTTAAGGACGCCCATACTTTTTGCCGTTCTTGTGATCAATGCCAAAGAACTGGGAATATTGGTCGCCGAAATGAAATGCCCTTGACTAACAACCTTCAAGTCGAAATTTTTGATGTTTGGGGCATCGATTTTATGGGACCGTTTCCTAAATCTAATGGCTATGAGTACATTTTGCTTGCTGTAGATTACGTGTCTAAGTGGGTTGAGGCAATCCCCACGAGGACATGTGATGCTAATATTGTGATTAAGTTTGTGCAAGGGTATATATTGAGTAGGTTTGGGTTCCCACGAGCGATCGTGAGTGATGGTGGGAAGCACTTTTGCAACAAGCTTTTTGAGAAGCTGATGAAAAAGTATTGCATATCACACAAAGTAGCTACTCCATATCACCCGCAAACTTCGGGCCAGGCTGAGACCAGTAATAAGCAAATCAAGACCATCTTAGAGAAGACGGTCAATTCATCAAGGAAGGATTGGTCGAACCGGCTCGACGATGCATTGTGGGCCCAACGTACAGCGTACAAAGGCGTTTTGGGCATGAGTCCATTCAGATTAGTCTGTGGGAAGGCTTGTCATCTACCAGTTGAGATTGAACATAAGGCCTTGTGGGCGATTAAGAAGGCGAACTTTGATCTAGATGCAGCCGGAAAAGCTCGATTGTTGCAGCTCTCGGAGTTGAAAGAAAGAAGGAACGAGGCATATGAGAATGCCAAAATATACAAGGACAAGGTGAAGAAACTCCACGACGCTCACATAGTTCGAAAGGAGCTGGTACCGGGCATGAAAGTTCTTCTCTACAACTCCCGACTTCGTCTATTCCCGGGAAAACTCAAATCCCGGTGGAGTGGCCCGTACATTATTGATGAGGTGCTGACGTTCGGAGCCGTTCGACTTCGTAATCCAGCTAATGGCGACTTATTCGTGGTCAATGGGCAGAGAGTGAAACCATATTTCGATGGAGAGTTTGGAAAGCGGCATGTCGAGACTGTCAGTCTCGGCGACCCAGTCTACGCTTGATCGCGACATCACGAGTATCCTTTTGTACTGCTGTATATTTGTTTTATTTTCTTCTTTATATATATATAT